TTCTGGGAGTTGAAGTCCACTCATCTTAAAGTGGCCAAGTTTGGACAACACTGTGCTACATCAAAACTGAAATGAAGCAGGCTACCTAGCTGAGAGTTTTCATGCTAGAAAATTCTAATTTCCTGTAAAGAATCCAGTGTACATTGATTCATTGATTGATTATGTGACATCAAGTTGTTGTTGACTCTTAGTGACCACATAGATAGATTTTCTCCAGAAGGATCTGCCCCTAACCTGATCCTTCTAGTCTTCCAATGGTGTACCCTACCTGAGTCCCTCCACCTTGCTGCTGGTCGTCTTCTTCTTCTCTTTCCTTCCACCTTTCCCAGCATTAGAACTTTCTCCAGAGAGCTGGGTCTTCACATCATGTGCCCAAAATATGAAAGTTGAAGTCCGATCATTTGTGCCTTGAGTGAGAACTCTGGGTTGACTAGTTTGATGGTCCATCTGATTGTTTTCTTAGCTGTCCATGGTCTTCTCAGGAGTCTTCTTCAACACCAAGACTGTACATACATGCTGCTTAATCAGCCCTTGGAGCTCATGAGGTAACTTCGGGACAGTCACCGACTAGGATCACACGCTGTGGCAGATCATGGTTTGTTTGAGGATTTGACAAATCGGCCATGGTGGCTGGATTCAGACATCACTCTAAGCCATGATATTCTGGGGTGGAGGGGACAGATCAAGCCCATAGACCCTTTCAAAAATTTCCCCCAGTTGTATTTCTAGTGAAATTATGCTCAGTATTTCCTGATTTTTATTTATAATGTATATTAGCACAAGCCAAGATTATGCAAATCTGAGTTCTTCCCCACTAAAAGTACTATTCATTCATTCATTCATTCATTACATTTGTATCCCACCACAATCAACAGGACTTTTGGTGGGATACAAATTATTGACAGACGTCTTGAAATACACACCACAGGAGATGATTAAAAGTTATGCTTCAATAATATTTAAGGGCATCATATTTGAGGCAATCTTTCCAGCAATAACTAAGACAAAAAACAGGGGCAATCTTATTAAACATGCTGAGTATTTAATGCATCTTGCCCAGTATTACACAGAAATTATATCCGCTATTAAAATCTTTGGGTGCAGTTTATGGCAGCATTTGGGGGAAAAAACAACCACCCCAAAAGCTCTGAGAGATAAAAATCAATCTATTTCCTTCTCTGCCAGTTAATTCAATTGCAACTTAGTTAGTCTGATTTCCCAACCTGATATATCTTAATTTCCGTTTATGTCAGTCTAGTTCCTAGCAAAGTAAACTGTTTTTTTTTAAGAACAGGCTCAGCCATGGAACTGAACTGGCATTTCACAGACCAAAAGAGGTCAAATGGCTTGTGTGTGTGGTAGATTTGTTCATCAGTCAAGCTAGGCCTTCCAAAGTCATATCTCAGTGCCTTTGTGTCAGTGGCAAGGCTGGATATGATAAAACCCATATTGAAAAGCTTCTGTGGTTTACTGGCACATCATTAAATGTCTGGTTCACCCATGTGCCGTGCTTCCAGCAAAGTGTTCCTAACTGCCTCCACCAATTCTCCACAGTGAGTCATTGCAGAGGACAGCATAAAAATTGAGGGATTATTTTCTTCACAAGTGTGCTGTGTACAGTTCCAGCTCCATACAGGTAGTCCTCGACTTACGACCATTTGTTTAGCGACCGTTCTAAGTTATGATGGCGCTGAAAAAAGTGACTTGCGATCGGTCCTTGCACTTACGACTGTCACAGCGTTCACGTGATCAAAATTGGGGCACTTGGCAACTGACATGTATTTATGACGGTCACAGTGTCCCAGGGTCATGTGATTGCCATTTGCGACCTTCCCAGCTGGCTTCCGACAAGTGAAGCCAGTGGGGGAAACCAGATTTGCTTAACAACCACATGATTCACTTAACGACCATGGCAAAAAGGTTATAAAATTGGGCATGACTCAATGACCGCATCAGTTAGCGATGGATGTTCTGGTCCCAATTTTGGTCGTAAGTCGAGGACTACCTGTATTCCTTCTCCCGCCCCAAAGCCATTACATTGCTGCTCAAACTAAATTCATTCCCAAGGAACAACAGGGTGCATTTGAAGCCATAATGCTCCAACCTGCCAGTATCTGAGCCTAAAGGAGTAGCAAACTTCATTTTGATATGAATAGCAACCCCACCCGACTTTCTAGGTTAAAAGGTACATGCATTTTTAATAAAGACATAGATATGTTGGGTTTAGCCTTCCGTGGGGCTTGCATTTGACAATTTTGCTTAGGATGGTGAAATTAAGAGTAGGAGATGAACAGTTGGCAGGGATTGGGAAATGTTTAACTTAAAACCAGCCTGTTCCATGAAAGAAAATACCACTTTCAAATGCTATAAGCAGGAATACAATGTACCTTATAAACCCCACCCCATCCTCTTGGTTTATATTTAGCGATGTAGAAGATTGTTCCTACACATTACGTTTAGTTTGCATGGCCCAGTGCACCATTTAGGCCAGCTGAGGTCCAGATGTACAACTCAACCCAGTTAAAACCAGCAAAAGCAGTCTTCTAACCCCAAATCTTTCCATGTCTAAAGAAAAGTCAGGAAGCCTCAACTTAAGTTGACGTGACTTCATGGACATAACCATGTTATTACTTGGTGGCAACATGGAAGCCGATTGCCTCTGTCTTCTTGGAATTAAAAGAAGAATCCAAACAGAACAGAACTATTACCTTGCTAGGTTTCCCCAATGGAACTTGTACCACTCATTTCCAATGAGTGCGTTCACATGTCACACTAAATCAGGATTTGTTTTAATCATGGTTTATTGAGTTAGACAGAATAGTTGAGTTCACGCCATACTGAG